CATCGTACTGGGCCGCCGAGCCATAGCGATAGCCGCCCGGATGGATCCACACGAAGACAGGCAGTCCGGAGGTCTCGTCGGGCATCTGCGGCGTGTAGACGTTCAGCAGCAGGCAGTCCTCCTCGCCGACGATCCGCTGCGGCGCCTGCGGATGCGGCTGGATGCAGGGCGGTCCGTGGCGCGTGGCATTGATGTCTCCGCCGAGGCGCTTGTACACGGGACGGGCGTATCGCAGCGTACCCAGCGGCGGCTCCGCATAGTGCACCCCCAGGAAGCTGTAGACGCCCGTCGTGGGATTCCGGAAGCCCTCGACGCGGGCATCCCGATTGAAGAGGCGCGCGAATACCACCGGATCGTCCACAGGCGGGGCCTTCGACTGCCTGCCACCGACGACGCGCTTCACGCGGACATGGGAACCAAATTCCGGCTCCGACACCGATTCGGAGCGCGTCAAGGTCACTGCCAGCAGCAGCCCCATCAATCCCCACAGAAAGTTCCACTTCAGCAGCGATTGCATATCGTTTCACTCGATTGTCGAACGGGAACTGAACAACTGAGGCATTCCCTGGCATCGCAGAGCCCCAGAGTCACAGAGCCCCAGAGCTGGGTTTTTTTTTGAGCGAGGCCGGCTACTTGCTTGGCTTGGCGATAAAAAGCAACAACAACAACGACCGCTTTAGTTGATAAAACTATATAAATTCAACTTTTGTTGCTTCGTTCTGTTTGCGTGCCTGCCATGATATAAGACCATGTTTGGCGCCGTCCCGGAGGGGGAGCTGCGCCTCTCCAGCATTCTAATCACGTACTTTACAGCGATGATGACGAGCTGATGCTCCGCGGAGCGAACTTCAAGCCAGTTGTAGTTCATTGAGTCACAACAAATCTGGAATTAGCTTCTGGGGTGACTTTTGGGGCAATTTCGAAAGGAATAGCACACTAAAACGCACTTGAATGAGAAATGGGAATAGACATTTTTGGTCAGAATTTATCTCAACTCGAAATGAAATCAGAAAAGAAGAGAGAAAATGGCAGACAAGGCCTACAAGTGCATCGGAAATTGATCTCAGCTTCGTTTCTGCGTCTGTCATTCGATTACAAGGCAAATATTGCACTTTTCGCTCATTCGAAAGTGATGATTGGCGCTTTGGACTAGGAATTTCTTAAACGTCTTGCGCTTAAAGTTAAACAAGAGTCAGGAAAGTTCAACTACCTGAAATTGAGACACCAGAATAAACATTATCGGCTTGGATCCACATTCAAACCTGTTAAATTCAGGCTTCCAAATGATATCATACTGTGGCAACTAATAACTTGCAATGTTTACTATATATTTTATATATAATTTACTTTACACTCACTTTATAGATCATTTGTCATTCACATTAGCTTTGGGGAGTCTAAACCTCCGACCATAAAAGGAAATAGCTTCTGAAATCAAAGAAATATAGTTCTAATTTCACAAAATGATGTTTTCATGATCCAAATATCATTATCCGATTCTTTCATGGACAGATGTGACATAATTTACTCCGTCTTTAAAGATAGGGTATATTCTGGGTTCCCTTTCATAGCTCCTCATCCTCATCCAATCCCAATTGATTGACATTCAAGCTCTCCAATCATCGGCTGTTGGGATCATCTCTGGGCTTGATGCCTGCGCTCATCTCTCGCTTTGACAGCCCAGCAATTAAATCGGCGAGAATTTGCTGTATTATTTTATTGCATTATTCGCATCGTGAGATCTTGGCCCGATGAACAGTAGCAGAACTGGTCAGGTTGGTTTTTCCCACCGCTCATCGGTTGGCTGGAAATTCAATTGCATGAGAGAAATAATAATGAGTATTTAAAGGCATTGTCAAAAGCAGAAACAAAGGCAGAAGCAGAAGCAGAGGCAGTGGCAGAGCCAGAGTCAGATGAAGTCAGTGGCAAAGCATACGAGTCCATGGCGTCATATTTTACAGCTGTGCCGCATTATCTTTTGCCCAGCATATTTACAGCTAACAAATGGGGGGGAGGGATGTAGAGCCGGAAACGGATGCTGGCAAATATCATGAGGCAAACGCATGTTGAGATTTCAAGTTTCTTGACCCCCTCTTGTGCGACAGGACCAGGACTCTGGCAGGCCACTGCTGGGCCTTGGCGTCGGAGGCACGGCACGCGCTGGACTAACTGGCATGACTCTGTGAGTCTGCCACATGAATCTCAATGTTGTTGTCTGCCAGGCCACGTACGGCAGCTGATTTGTCCCAGTCCTGGTCTCACCCTCGTTCTCTCTACACTGGAAAACATTCCAAAGAGATGTGCCAGGAAAAGGCTCTCTGCTTGCCTCAGAGCTTCTCGCAGTGCATCGGGCCACACCGACCGCCTGCCGCTCGCATGTGTCGCAGACAATGGCCAAATGACATTTAAAGTTACGACAATATAATTAAGTATACTTCTGGGAGTTGACGCCATCAGCTGCAGCAGAACAGGAGTCGCCATGGCCATGGCCATGGTCGAGGAATAATTATATATGTATGTGCGAGCCACTCCCAGAGGCGGCCAGGAGGGGGCGTGGGGCAGCACGCAAAGTTTCTAGCCCCAGATGCTGCCGCCGCCCCGCCTGGCACGCCTCAACGTTTAACGAGATTAATCTTTTTCTGCCCGACTAGAAGTAGAAGTATCTCTGGCTCTGGTCCTTAAAAAGTTATTAATCTTTGGGGCTATCGAGTAAATATTTTGCTTTTAATTGAGTTTAAACGCAGCTTCCAAGCGATTTGCATAAAAGTTGCAAAAATCTCCGGACAGGACATGATATGGTGTCCACATGGGACCACATCGGATGCCTGCCATATAGAAAGTAATAACTACATGGCAGATTGCTTTTTAATCTGATTTCTGGGGCAATGCCAAGGTCCGGGAACATATTTGAAATTTTATTATATTTAAAATTGAATATATAGAACATTGGATAGAGATTGGATAGCATTCCTTTGCCCCCTCGAAGCACTCATTAACGATCCTGCTTACAACTAATTTATCCCCGACTAGAGCGCATTTTCCCCTCTCCAATTAATCTCTGTTTTTCCTTGTTGTTGTCTTGTGTGCCACACGCAACATTCTAGGATTTTTCCCACCTCCTCCTCCTCCTCCTCCTCCTCCCAAGGCCTTGCGTGCGCTGTGCCCATGAGTGCGTGGAAATTAGAGGCAGCTTCCCAGCTGCCGCTGATGCGATTTTGATGTGCAAAATATTAATTATAAAACAATAATTGAATTGTGCTCTTGGCAGTCAGTCCAAGGCACTGCGCGTCGAAAGGTGAGGCCACCAAGTGGGTGGCGTGGCGTGGGGCACACACGCCAAAACTTCATTAGGCTTCATGGGGCTTCATTTTTCTTTTGGCCTCCGATGAGATTCAGGATGAGGCTGGGGAGCAGCTGCTGTTGCTATTTCGTGGAGGGGGAAAAAAAGCAAATTAGTTTCCACTGATTGCCGTTTAATGGGAGGGGGGAGGGAGGGCTCCAGATCAGGTGCCTGAAAGATGGAAAATCTTTTCCTGGAAAATAGTAATTTATTGTTGTAATAATTATAAGAATATTGGGAAGGAAAAACTCATTTGTACGGGTATTGAAAGGAGGAATATTTTTTTGGTTATGGGAACAATGATGGAAAAGAATTAATAATTCTCATGTTTTTCCATCTGTCTATCTGAGGCTATCAATACAAAAATGTTTCCAATGAATATGTCTAACCATTGACTAAAAAGAGCATTTAATGGCCCTTTAAACAGCATCAGTGGTTAAGGAAATCTTGTTGGTAGACATACTGGGTATAGATTTACCCAGAAATCCAACGAACCCGTCCTTTGCGAGATTCCCACAAAATGCTTCCAGCGAGTTTTACTTTTTGTATCGCGAAAAGCTCGCAAATCTCTCAAAAGATATCGCCAAAGTCTCGCAAATCCATTAAGTCTCATGCTCTTGCATGCGATTTAATTTGTGAGCATTTGGTTTGTTGGGTATGCTCATATCTACATACATACACACATACATATGTATGTATGTTTTGTTTGTACCTGTCTGCGCTCTTCTTTTGGGACTTCGCCTGGTCCGCAGTGCCGTCGCATTTGTCTTATCTGATCTTCGTTTTGCTGCTCTCACGCCATGCATATGATCTCTCTCAATTGCTTCGCTCTCTCAGCTGCAAACAGCATTAACTCCGCTGCCGTGCATTGCGATTGAAGCCTCTCTCTCGCTCCTCACTCGCGCTCTTGCTCTCAGCAAATACGGAACCTCGTGGGAGGCAATAGAAACACACATAATTCTGTTTTTAAACGTCTATTTTTACACGGTCTGAAAGTAAAAAAAATATAATTTTTTATACACGATTTTGTGGCATTTAGCACGATTCAAAATAACGCAAAATATATACATAAAAACACACGCAGCCCACAAACAGCTGGAAAAAAAACGAAAACAAGAGAGAGCGTGAAGAGAATACATACATACGATATCTGTTTCTCTTTCGTTTTTTGTGTCTACACCTACATAATTCTGTTTTTATACGGTCTATTTTTACACGGTTACGATTTAACACGGTTGGAGTATCACAAATTTAAAATTTTTGTACACGATTTTGTCCCATTTAGCAAAAAAAAACACTCACCACTCACAAACAGCTAGCAAGAAAACCAGAAAGAGCATAAAGAGAATAAAGAGAATACGTACAGATTGCTTTCTCTTTCGTTTTTTGTCTATATCCACACATACACGCATATTTACAGTTGAGAGTAATTGCAAAGTTTGTGGGGAATTCCCTTTTTTTGTAGAAAATTTAAGAGAATTCTCTCTTTGCAATAAAAATTTGTTAGTATCTGGTGAACACTCAATGCAGTCGGACGTGTTTCCAATTTTAAAGCACTAACGCATAAAAGGTAAGCCAAAAAATACATATTATAGTATATTCATTACATTATTTATATTTTTATAATTTTGTTAAATATTTTATGTATTCCTAGAACAAAATGCCGAAAACTAGAAATAAAAAACTAAAGCGTAAAGCCATTTCTTTGGGAACCAAAATTGAAATTTTAGATCGCCTTCGCAATGGAGAAGGCTCCACATTTCTGGGCAAAATATACGGCCTTAACGAAGCCACCATAAGAACTATAAAAAGAAATGAGAATTCCATTCGGCAATCGGTGATTTCTGGAACGGAACTATCGGCCAAGTTTTCATCGTACACCAGAGATGCCACCAAAGAAAAAATGGAAAGGGCACTCGTAATATGGCTCGAGGACAATGCAAAGAAACGGATTTCCGTAGACGGAAACGATATCAAAGAGCAGGCATTGAGGTTCTATAAAATGATAAAGGACGAACAACCGTCCACCTCTACACAATCCACTCATGAGAAGACCTACTTGTTTTCTGCCAGCACAGGATGGTTGACAGGATTCCTCCAAAGGCATGCGCTTCAGACCATCAAAATCAAGGGCGGAATTGCCTCTGAGGAGCAGAAAGCCGCAAGTTCCATAGAATTTCCCATAAAACTTCAGAAAATAATTGCCGATGGACTTGAACTTACAACTAAATTGGGATACCATTTCGTCACAGACGATCCCGATTTCGAACGGGCTGCACAGCTCCACCGTGAGCTGGGCTCCTGTTTGGGTCGCTACAGAGAACTATACGAAGAGGTGGAAACAATTGGCCAGAAACGGCACATAACAGAGTTCACTGTTCACAATGTAGACGCCGATCGAGCAGGAGAAAGTCCTGTTCAGGACTATTCCAGCGATGATAGTGATAGTGATCCTATAGGCATTCGAAGCAAGCGAAGTCGATTAACTGATGATGATGACGATTATGTTTAGGATTATCATTTTTAGCTTAAAAATTGAATAACCCATTCTTTTTGTTAGCAACAAAGCTTTTCTGCCTACAGACACTATTGTTTTTAGTTCCTGAAGTTGTCATATCTAATTTTGATAACATTTATTTAAGCATGGAGAGCATATCTTTTGTTTCTTTAATAATTATGCTAATAGATCTGATTTAATAAAATAAACATGAATACTTTTTCTTAAAAAATCCTTTTTTCCCAAATTTTAATAGCTTTTAATCCCCTATTTTTGCATACAAAAATTTCTTTTTTACACGGTTTTTTCTGAAACTAATCTACCGTGTAAAAACAGAAATGGAAAGTGTACTTTTCTCCGTTGATTCCATGCTGCTCTGGGAATGAAAGCAGAACTGCTGCCAGCAGCAGAGTCCAACGCTGGCAGCGCAGCGACTGAGAACTGCAGCAGAGCATCGCACGGTTGGAGATTTAAGCATAAAAAAAACTTAAAACTAAGCGAATAATATATGAATTGGATTCACGAAATTCCTATCCCTCGGAGAACACTTTTGCATATTTAAAATTTTCACAACATGCACACGTAAGCCGTGGGAAAAGGCCAACAAAATATTACAAGTTCCAAAAATATGCCAGAACCAACTACGAATATTGTCATATATTGAGTCCTGCATAAACTTTGATCCAAATGGACCTTACCCATATTCTGCTTAAGAAATGTGCAGGGGATTCCACATGTGCTAGGAGTCACTTCACAGCCCATTTTACCCATTCTGGTGTGGTCTTAATGGAGCTCTGTTACGACAGGGAGGATCACTGACTGACTGTCCTACTGTGATAGTGATAGATAGGTGAAGAAGAGTGTCTGCAGATCATCAGATCACTTCTATTGGTGGATCACTAGCAACGTAGTAAGCAGAGCAAGGAACCATGTTTTATCGCACATCTGATTAATACAACTTTCAATTTCAGTGACAGAAAAAACCTCTTGTTATTATTTAAAGTCTGGAAATAGTGAAAAATCTACATATTTTGGTAGATACATATGTATCTTGTGTACCCTTTAAGCTCCAGCAGGAGACTGAATATTCCACATTATTGATTTGAACATTGGAATCACCAGAGCCCATTAATCTTTCTCTACATCTGGTATGAATACCCCTATCTTTATGCCCCTACTCTCGTGTTCAACCATCACAGATTCAACCCTTGAAAAGTACGTGTATTCCATTTGCATTATCATTTTTCGTGCATTAATTCTCCCTGCGATATCTTTAAATTATTTTCAAGCCCATAACTCGCATATTTCGCATCGCATATTTTCGTCCCCAGTCAACTATAAAAACGCACAAGAGCGTAAATAATATGGCCAGGACCCGAAAAAAAGGAGTGCGAGCGTGTGAGTGTTTGTATAATAATAAATAAATATGAAAATATAGCATCAAATGGACGGCGACCGTTGGCCCCAGCCTCTTCGCAGGGAAAACAATACACGAGATGCGTGGGATGCAAAAAAAAATAAATAAAACAATCGAAAACAAAACAAAGTTAAACCCAATACATTAATGGTATTTGCATTTGTGCTGATTTTATTTGGTTTTTATTGAATTGATAAAATCACGAACGAGAGAACAGGAGAAGCAAACGAGAGTCCTCATGCTCGTCCTCGTCCTCTGTCTCTGGCTTTGGCTGTGGCTGTGGCTCCTGCTTCAGCGCCCAGTACTCCTGTTCGTGGTCCTCCAACCTCCTGCCAATTTGATATTCCGATTGCAATTTATGTGCCACCACAGCACACCCTCCCCGCACGACACACAAACACATACAGACACATACATATATAGTGGGATTGTAAGCCACATGTGGGGGTGGGCAGAGGGTCGGGGGGAATCGCTGTGATTCTTTGCCCCACCCTGCACCCTGCACCCTGGACCCACTTCCCCATCAGCTGGAGCTTTGTGTTTTAACATCTGCAATATGCTGCGTGTTCCGGCAGGCTGGAGTCATGGGAATGGGCTCTGCAGTCAGTCCGCAACGGAGCTGGGAGCACGCAGAGTACTTCGTGGCGTCTCTTCGTGAGAGTGCTGCTGGTGGACAAGGGAGCTGTTGCTGATTCGTGACACGAAGAGGAACAGATTCGATGGGATAGGATTTGTACTTGTATTTCCTTCACGGAATGTAAGGATTATGGGTAAAGATCTGTAATAAGACAATACAACACCATTTATAGTGATAAAGATATATCTAGACATGCCGCCTACCCTCTATCGCTTTTACTATCTTTAGATAAATAAGAGATACAATAAGACTATGATGATTTAGATACACTGCCTAACTTTTCAGTTTCCTGCTGTTTTAAGAGCTTTTCCATCGCGGTTTTCAAAAGAAATATAATTTTATCCTATATTCATCAATTTTCTTTAGATTTGGCTTATTTTTATAAGCGTGAATTTACTGCATTATTTTTTTTAATTTTTTAAACGAAAAATGGTCTTTAAACGATCTAATTATAATCAATAATTATTGATTCATTTAATTATCGATATTTAAAATTCTACAATCTAAAATTTCTCTCATACAAAATATTTATAGAATTATTCAGAAGCTAAGAATTGTTGTAAAAAGCTCTTAACGTAATATTTTCCAGATACAAAACTGCAAGAAAATACCTAGAAAAGGGATGACGATACAGTCCAGAGAAAAGTGTTACACCGCACTCTACTTCCCCAAGGAAAGGGTTACAAAATGTAAGTTTTTTTAAAAGATTTTTGTAGATATTTATATCTTCTTTTTGGGACTACAATTTGATGCCCTCACTCGACCATCTCTATGGGTCCTGCGCCATACGTAGACGCGTGTTTATTTGGCACCACAAATGCGTTTCCTCTCTGGTGGCACGCGGAGTGGGTTGTGGATTGGCGGGTGGGGGCTGGGGCTGGGGGGATTGAGGCTGGTTTCAGCTCGGTTTCGGGTTGGTTTGGTCTGTGGCAGCGGCGTCAGCAGCGCTGCGGTTGCCGCTTAATGGAATTCCGTTCTTGCATTAAATGTGACACACAGAGGAGCTGCCAATTGGAATGCCGCACACACAGAAGCGCAGGGTGGAGGGTGCAGGGTGGAGGCTGGAGGGTGGGGCGCTGTGTAGAACCACCGATAGACAGTGACAGTTGCCGTTTGCAGCGGTTCCAGTTTCAGTTCCAGTTAACTGTTAACTGTTACGAGCTGTCCTGCGGTTTGGCTTGTCTCGTTTAAGTGTTAAATTAACGTTTTAACAGTTTCGATTATTCCGCCAGTTAATTTTTAATGGTAAACCCCTCCCCCCCCCCCCCCTCCCCCCCCAACGAAAAAAAAGGATACCAGCCAGGAACAAATTAAGGCGAAGAACATTTCCTGTTCCACATCCGAAAGTTATGCGTGTCCTGTACATTTTCATTAGTTTAATTAAAATTTTATTCATCCTTCCCAGTCGGGAATGTCTGTGTGTGTGTATGTGGGTGTCCTTAAGGGCCACCAGCTTCCTTTTCAAATTGAACCGCAAAAGTTTCTTCGCTTGCAGCAGCAGCACATCCTTACATCCTTACATCCTTACATCCTTGCTCCTAAGCATGTGGCAGGACAAAGGAGTCTCGGACCCAAGTGAAGGCAAAGGATTATTTCATTGGTTTTGTCATTTGTGTTGCACTTGAGGAGTCCTGAGTCCTGGCTGCCCCCAAAACTTTTGCCGCACGCATTCATTTCAATTTGCCTTTGTTTCGTCCATACGTCCTTCGAGTCCTTTCCGGCCATTGACAGCCCTGCCAACCACATCTCTTCGCAGCGTCCTCTTGCGGCTAGTTCTGCCGGAGACCGAAACTAAAAATAAATGTTGCTCGAACGAAAGGCCACAGAAATTATTGCGGTTTTGCATCGAGCATCGAGTGGAGCATGTCCCGGCCCAAAGGACATTCAACATTAATGCGAAGAGAGTGAATTTTCGGGGGAATCGAGGCCATCGAGGAATTATCGCCTCTGGAACTGTGGTCGGAGGCCATTAAGCGGCTTAAAACTTTGATAAATCAAAACCGTTGCCCCAGATCCATAGTTATTCCGGGAACATCAGCAGCGGAACAATGGAGAAAATTCAATTATATTTAGTGCCGGGCAGGGACTATCTTAGAGGGTAAGTATTGGCATATGTTTTCAAGGAGAGATAGGGGACAAAAGGGGGGTAATATAAGACGATAATTCCAACTATTGTTGAGAGATACGACTGTATGCAGATGGCATATGGAAAGACCTCTGGAGCGGAGACCCAAGGAGTACTCTTGGAGAACTTATTTCTCAAACAAATGGCGATGTCTTAGCAAACCATCAAACATTCTTTTCTTTCCTTTAAATCCTTACAATTTATTTCTTTCTCCTTCCATTTCCCTCCCAAATCCCTCAGCAAATCAAAGTATATGACAGACCCCACCTCAGGCTAAACGCCAAGGCACTTACCATATCCTCAGTCATCACAATCTCTTCCTTATCCATCTTCAAAGTCCGGCATTAAGGACCCCAGGCCGGCAGATAAATGGGCCTGCTGATGAGGTCCGAATGTGCTCACCTACCCGCATCGGCATCGCCATGGGCATCGGCAGCCTAATTAACTCATTAGACAATGTCAACCCAAAGAAAAGAAAAGGAAAATAAACTGGAAAAAAAGAGAATTTCTTTCGGGGGGAGAAATGTTAAATGTGCAACATTTACACACTCGTTTGGGAGAGGCCGAACCCAAGGCCGAGCCCAATTTGTTGACAAACAAATTACACGATGGATTTGCTGCAAATTACGCTCAATTTTTCTAAACTTTTCCTTCAATGGCAGGATACCCACGGATACCCCTGCCGGAAAAAGGGATAAAAAAGAGACTGGTCCGAATATCTTTGGGCCTGTGTACATATGTCCCATGAAATTTAATTTAATCAAAGGCCAAACAAGGACTACAGCCGGCTGGAGCGGGTCAACCAGCACAAATCAATCTCGGCGATGCAGGAGATCCCCAAAAGGCAGATGATTCTCCTCGTT